CACACACACACACACACACACACCTCTCATATCCTGACTCAACAACTGCCATATCCCATTCAGGCATATTGCAACACATGTGTGCTACCACACACTCGCAGAACGAATCCTCCCATAAGATGCGGCTTTATCCAGCTCTGTTTAACCAAAAGAGTAGATTGAACAATCAATGGAAGCATGGATTTAGGCAAAGCCTTCAGGGAAACAGAGGGGAGGCTTTCTATCAACTCACTTGTAACCGTGTGTGATTCTAGGCCAGGAATTAAGGCTGCGATTACACAGACCTGCTGTGATCCAAAACATTATGATCAAAGCGGAGAGACGCAGCAGGAGCTCAATGGCAGCGAATGAACATACAGTCGACATTTCAAAACAGCCCTCCAGCCATATTTGTGCGCATTTACAGAAAAATATCACAATATTTCTACAGTGTGTTATTTGACATTCTGTATGCTGGTGTCAGGACAATACCTAATGTCTTTTCCTCAAATAAACTCTTCTATTTGTTTATTTGACAAAACCAGTTAATATAACTCAAAGTAAAAACACTGTTTATTACATATATAATTTAAAGATGTTTATTTTTGTAATCATTGCTCGCATTGTCAAATAAGTTTCACTTTCATGGGGGTTTGTGTATAACCTGGACGATCATCTCTGTTGCCCCATGTTACTTGTTTTTTCAACCCAATGCTGCATTCTAATATCTGAGCCTTTATGTTGTGGAGTAAAAGTTTAACGCAACTTCTATGAAGATTTTACCCAAAGTCTGAAACAGGAAAAATCTAAATTTCATAAAGCATTTGATTCAAATTGGATATCAAAAGATCATCTTTACCAAAAACAATTAGTTGTAGGAAGTAAGCAGAAGATTTGTTTAGCGACTAAATTCAGTAGGAGTTAAAAAGTGAGCTTCAGCTCTCTGTACAATTCAACCTATAATATATCTGTGCTAGGTCACCAATCTATTTCAGTAACACTACACAAGTACAGCACACACAAACATCAAAAATGATCCAACCAACCCACTTGTGTGTGCGTGCAATGACTGTGCCTAGTCCATTGTTGGGCTGTAAATAGGCGCTGACTGTGACAGGAAGTCGGGATTACAATACTCCCCATGAGCCCCGTGTTTATTTTCTACCTCTTTCGTCAGCACTGACTGTTACACACACACATCCCAGCCAGATCTTTGTCTACACACATACACCAGCTGCTCACACTCAGGTGTGTGTGTGTAAATGTGTAAAAGTTGGGCATGTAACAGTGCTTTGTGAAGAAGCCGAATTTAATGAGCGTTTACTGTCTCAAACAGGAAATACAAAGTGTTTTGGATGTGATGTGGGCTCTGCTTATGTTTAGGAAAGTTGTCACATGCTCCGTATGAGTGTGTATGTGTTGTGGGGTGGGGTAGGGGTGGTATGTATGTGTGTTTGTGTGTGAAGAAGAGGATCTGGTCAGGGTCCGATTAGGCTGGTCACATGCTGTGTGGGTGCGAATATGTACTCGAACACAATCTGGTGTGTGTTTGTGTATGTGAGTGTGTGTGTCTATGTGTGCAAAGCTTGTGTGCATCCCTCACTCACAGAAAATAAAGGCCTCATTCAGTCAGGGACAATGACGTACACACAAGGCTCGTGTACACTGAACACATACATGCTGCAGATAGAGACAAAGGAAAGTCAATGCACACGAGCATACGGTGAAAACACAAAGTCATACAGTGGTACTGTCCCTGGCTGCTCCCTCTGCACTTTCTCTTGAGCGCTGGGTGCTTCCACACAAAGCGTTGCTACAGAGAGAGGCCTTCTGACCTACAAACAGGCCCGGCCAGCGAGGTGAGTAACACTGCGTGCACAAGCAGTATTTCCTGCTGCATGTTGTGTGGATGTGGTCAATGAGGTCACTTCTAAAATTACAGTATTGGTGCAGCAATATCAAAATGGCTGCAGAATGGAGCCATACACATTATGGTACATAATTAGCGTACATAATGTGTTTTTATTTTAATTTATAGAATCACCATTCCTGAACATTTTCTAGAGCCTTTCATTCTTTTTATGTGTTTTTCTGTGGTGGCAATATTCCAGCTGTGGCAGCCCATCACGGCTAAATAAAAGTTGGAAATGGAGCACTCCAAACATGTGTGCAAGCAAGCATGCACGGGCCAGAGTCTGTGTACAATGGTGCATTTGTGTATGTGAATGTGCACATGTGCTATGTTTCTAATCTTTGCCAGCTGTGCGTGGCAGTCCCCCCTGACCTCTGACTGCCGCGCTGGAGCCAAGGTGGGCTGCAGACTGTGAGGACCTGGGGGGGCCCTGGAGGTCCCCAGGAGCTGGGACCTCTTAGCGTGATTACACTCATTAAGCCAGCTCTCTGCAATGACTGATTGGCAACAGGCTTCATTTCCCCTACTTTGTCGATCGGCACAGGTCTCGTTTATGAGGGCAGGCTGCTGGTGAAGGGAATCAGAGGAGCGGCTTTGCTTCCTTGTCCTACAACATGATCCCTCATTATGGAAATACAGCAGAGTTTAAGAATTTGTCCTTCCTATTATTCATTGCTCGCATTAAATATGTCAGACACCTCTGAATATCCATGAAGGTGAATACATAGTTGAAAAGAGCTGAATTCATTAGGGATCTAACACAATCCTGTCAAAAGCAAAAGACTATCATTTTTCTTTTCATTTTATTATTTGCAATAAAACAGAACAACAAAACCTAACACATGTACGGAGACACACTTGCACATAAACACACAATGAAAAAGTGAGCGTGTAATCCTCTCGACAGGGGTGGGAATGTCACAGCGGCCGTGGGAGCGGGAGGCCGAGATGACGCATGGACAAGGCTGTGCCCCTTTAACGGAAAGCCAATGCGTATGCACATGTCTGCACACACAATGCAGAGGTCTTCAAGGGAATTTCCACCATGTGCATGTCAGACAGGAAATAAGATCATGGAGGTAAAAATAATAGTCAATCAACGTCTAAGTGATAAAAAAAACACTTCAAAACAGGCATGCCTTTTCAAGTGTGTGAGCATGTGTGTGTATGCTAATTGCCACAGGCCGATTGTGGTCTCCATTATTCGCAGACTCCAGGTTTTCTCCACATGAGGGGCGCGAGGAGGCCTGAAATCCAACAGTTTGCTCCATATGGGGATTGTTAATCATGCACATGTGTGTTTGTGTGGCGCTTTGATAACTTCATTAATCTTTAGTGTCATTAATCCTCTGGCCTCATTACTATTCATGTGTGTCCTGAGTAGCTGCAGTGAAGGTGCTGAGGACAGCTCTGGTGTCAAATCAGGTGACAACGCAGTCGCGGGTACCTGCACGTGCGTTCTTGACCATCCTGCTCGCTTTAAGTCTGAAGTCACTCTGGCCAATTTGTAGGCACAGAGGGAGACGATCTGCCTGCAGGAGGATGGATGAGGACACAAGAGTTCCAGAGGGGAAACTCCTGTGTAGAAAACCTGTTGATAATCAGGCCCTAAAGCCGACCCATCAGAGGGCACTAAGACCCGCTATATATAAGCACTTAGTGCAGCCTAAGCTCCAAATCTGTAATAGCTCAAGAGGATGGACATGCTATAAATAACAGCCTGACCACAAGTATCCCCATCCACATTCTTTTTCTCTGTAATTCAGAAATTCTAAATCCGGACTCCAAGTCCAAATGTGTGTGTGTACATCACATGGAGGCACACATTAGTAGTCCATGTTAATTCCATCTGTTCCTAGGATCCCATCTGTAACAGACGTTATCTTAATCTCACCAGTGTAAATGAGCAAACATAAGCCTTTCCGCTCCTAAATTAAGCAATTCAATGTATCTGTTGATGGCCTATGCGACTTTCTATAAAGTGCTTAGTCTGATCTTGGACCTGTTTAATGTGTAAATAGAATCCGTGGCTACAAGACAGAGTGAATGAGAGGCTGTGCTGAAAGAGTTCCCCAGGGATATTGTGATGTCCCTAATATTGAACTTTAATGTGCTGAGGGCCTTGGTGGAGGTTATGTTTTCATCCCTCTCTCTTTGTTGTTGGTTTTTAGAGATTACGCAAAAACTATTTGACTTATTTCCACCAAACTTGGTGAGAGGATGGAAAATAGGCCAAGACAGAACCCATTAAATTTTGCAGACACGGGGGCTTATACAGGAATTATTTTTATCACATTGTGGAACATTGAAATGTTTTTACATTTTCACCGATTTCCCAGGAAACAATGCAAAGATCTTGGTGGAGGTATGCGCTCTGCTGAGAGCCATTATAGTTGTTATAGATACCGATTGTGTTAATCAGATACCATGGTCCTATCCACCCACACAACAGAAAGCCTAATAACCATGATATTGCATAAGTCGTGTTTTCCCATGACATTAATGCCTGAACTTGAATCTAGGGTTTCTTCTAAACGTGTGCCAAATCACTGCCGTAACACGCTAATGAGCTTGGCTGTGCTCGCCAAATGTGTCAGTGTTGTAACTCCATTTAGAGCGTAACAGTGGCTAAACTTGTCCAGGTAAATACCATGTGAAGGCATGTGTCCAGGGGTTAGTCTTGCAACAGTATTATAGATTTGGTTAAGTGCTATTAGTGCCCAGAAAGGCATGACTAATGGAATGCCTGGGTGAACCAGAGCCAGGGAGTCAAAGCTCTGGGGTCTGTGGGTCTGAATGAAATGCTTCCAGCGAGTCAGTGCCGTAACTAGAATCAGCTGCCAGGGTCACAGGTGGTATTCTCAGTTTGGATTACAGAACATTTCTTTACAATGACCGTCACCTCAGGGGGCGTCTGTGCAGAGTTGTAACCTCATTTACTAAACGTTTTCCCCAGCACTAGTTTGACTACACACAAAAGATCAATCAACATGTGCATACAACCTCGATGCAGATGTTACTAGAGAGGAGATTGGAGTGTGTTTGGCGTGATGGCAAATTATTGTAGAGTGACACTCGAGAAGTCTCTAAACTGTCGAACATCATATAAAAGGCATAAAATATAAGAGAGTCTAGTCTTTTGTCTGCCTCGTTCACAGCCTGGCTCGGAGGCACCTCAAACATTGCTGCCAAAACCCTAGATATTTTGTCAATCTTTATTTAAGCCTCGTTGAGATTAAGATTTATTTTCCAAGAAAAAATCGACTCGAGCACAATCAGAATAACAGAAATCATACAACTACAAAATTAGAGGAACTAAAAACAACAACAGATTAAGAGAAACAGTTAAAGAATCATAAAAATCAAACAAAGTGTAACATTGAAGTCCCCTCACTCTCTCTCTCTTTCGGGGATTAAGGGGTAAAAATGGTATTCTGAGGTCAGACGACCAGCTCCAATAGATTACTGCAAGCTCACTTATCATGCCTGGTTTCAGAGGGGACCTGACCTATTTTCCTAAACCATGGCATCTTCCTAAAGAAACAGATTCACAAATATCTTTGAATCAGCTCTTAGTCTGGCCCTGAATCACTCAGTCATTTGTTTTATGTCGTAGTTTTTATTCCTTCTACTTCACAAGACCCTCAGTTCAAAGTGCACTGTAAATTTATATTTGTACCGTGGCTCTGCTAAACAGAAAGAGTAAAAGATTTGAAATATTCTCAAATACAGTTCATCTGTGGTCATACCTCAGTGCCCTGCTCAGTTTATCGTAGTTCATTTGGGGTTTACACTTCCTGGCCCCCCACAGTCGGGCCACTTCATCCGGGTCCTTGATGACAAACTCGCCGTAGTCCCCCTGCCAGGCGATGACATCGTGATACTCCTCCTTCCGGAGTAGCTCCAGGATGAAGTGCCACAGCTGGATCTGCCGGGACCCAGGGCTTGACTCTGGCTTGTAGGCCCATTCTGGAAAGGCGATCCCTGAAACAGGGAGTGGGAGGTTAGTGTGATGGCAGGCAAACAAATCCAAGAACGGTGAACGGTGATGATGACAGCAAATTAATTTCATTAATTTGAAAACTCAGCTTTTTGAAAGATATTTGAACCGATGTGAGTCACTATGGAAAACTGCAGTTCAGCAAAGAAATACAAGAGACTGAGATACAGTTACAATCAGTGGATACAGTGGAGTCTATTCTGTGAGAGCATCGAGGATGATGGGTGTCTTGTCAAGTATAGAACACATATTGCTGTGCAGCTCAATCAAGCACAGGCTTGAGTGTCCTCAATCATATGTGTCACATTGCACATACAGTTGCTGTCTTCATTTCTCCTGATTTTTCTTTTGTAAATGAAAGGTACCAACATGTAAACCACATTCCCCCCTCATTGGATCACCACCTAGAGTATTCACAGGAAACACACATGTACACTGCAACACTAAAAGCTGTAGTGTTCGTGGGCTTTGTGGAACAGTTAGGCACACGCAAACCCTTTCCACCTCTCCTCCACCTCTTTCCTCTAATGCAGTCACTCTTTCCTCCGACCAGAGGAAAACAGCACAGCCAGTCATCTCTCGAGTCTGTCCCTCCATCTCCCTCCACCCGCTGCTTGTAGGAAACGCAGAGTAAGCGCCTCAGAATGAGACCGTGGGCGTGGGTATATGACTGCTTGTGGGAGCATGTGTGCACCCAAATGTACAAGTTTGAGAGCGTTTATGTGTCAGTGCGCATGTTTGAAAATGTTTGTGCGAGTCTCCCACCAACATTCTGTTGCCTGGGTGGTCAAGAAAATTTGACACGACCGAGCAAAATAGAATATTACAGTGTAATGTTCATCCTCAGAGCATTTATACACACAGAAGGGAGGATGTTGAGTCTCCAAAGTGTCATTGTACAGGCTATTTAATGGCTAACAGTTCTGCTGATATTACTTTCAAATGTCAGGTGCAAATAATGTAAAGCTTCAGATTGAATGCAGGAAATTATAAATAACCTGTCTGATGCAATCATGTTCAATAACTTGTAGGGTGTTTTCACAACTGAAAATATGGACCATGGTCCAAACAGAGGTTCATGTCATTGCTATATGGTTTACATTTACATTTTGGGAGCACACTAATGACTTTTATATGACATACGTTCGTCCTGTCGTCCTCACCTACGTGGGCTGCGTCTACCTGCATTTGACATTGATTGACTGTTAGTGATTGTGTCTTTCACGCCAATTATTTCATTCATTTTAAAGTCTCAGATCAAACGAGGTAGCTGTGAGAAGCTCCAAAAAGCTGCCTGTTGCCTTGTTGTGCACGTTGATTCAATTTAATACCTTCTTTACGGCTGGAGCGATGTTATTTTGGATTCACATTTGTGCATCTGACTGAAACACTACACTTCAGATAAATAATATATTACTGGGCTATTGTTTAACAATGAGCAGGGGTTAGTAATTGTCTATTTACTTGGATAATTTAGCCGTTACATCCTATTTTGAGTGGACATAGAAAGGCTAGCACGAGGGCCTGTGTGTTCCTGTGTGTAACTGCACAGCATACAAACAACAACAGAGGAAATGAGTTGGCTGGAGATTGGGAAACAAACAGGCCCAAATCATCAGATTATAGATGTGCAGGCCTGTCAATGGATTTGCTGGATGACAGCCTGAGGCGGAGATAGATAGCCCTGATAATCTCTGCTGCACTAACCGGCTCTTACCATTTAGTCACTGTTGCATAACACTAAATAATGTTGATAGCACATCTGCCAGATTCTGTATCTATGAATCTGTACACATCTGTTTACTACAATCATTTATCAACATGTGTTAACTTCTCTTTTTGTCTTTTACACGATATAAGGACAGAGCAGGGGCAGGTTTAGGCCTATTTAGGTTTCCGGTTCTTAGGTAAGAATAGGCTGAGAGGAAAGATATCATCATATGTGTCTTCTTACTAATTAAATGTGGGCTACATCCTATTCTTAACCACTGTTTCCTGATGGTTTTCCTCCACACTGATGTATTTGCGAGGCACGGTCAATGATTCACTCAGTTGTCCAACCTACTCAGGAGGATTCAAAATGAAGATTTCTGAATATTATTCAAACTATGTGGAAGATGCCTACACATTTTCCATCTCCAAAATCCAGACAGGATTTTATCTGTGAATATTATGCATATAGCAGGTGGCCAACAACAGTCCCAAACAGGCTGTGCAGGCAACTTTATAGAAACTGCAGATTATTGTTCCTTTTAACAAACATCACAATGTGTGAAATGACCATGGGTGTAAAAACTGCGTAAACTGTGTTGTCTTCATTTTGCAAAGCCTCTTTCCAGACGTGCATGTGTAGGTAGCGAGTTAGCACGCAAATGAAACAACACTCACAATCATTTTATGTCCTTTTTTCCCTTCCCGCCCTCCACCTCCTGTTTCTCTTTCGAACATTCAAACAAACACTTGATGCGTGATCAAACCCTGAGTGAACTACACAGCAACAGAGGAGCACACCAGGGGCTATCATCAACATACTGGCCTGGCTGAGCACGATCCTCCAACAATAACACATCACCGCCTACACAAACACACTCCCACTGCAGAGGACAACACAATGTTTCCAGACATGGTGAACTGATGGTGACTGTGTCAAGGCAAATGATGCGTTTCAGCTCAAGTCAAGAGGTGGTTGACCAAATCCCCAATCTGAGATGAATAAATGAGTAGTCTTGACCCCTGACACTGCGGTGCTGCCATCGCGCTCAGTGGTCGACAGTAGATGATTGTTTTTTATTGGGAGTGTTTTACAAGTGTGTAACTGTCTGTATGTAAATGACAGTCAAATCTGATTTTAAGTAGAGCCCCACTGATTTATTGTATGTAAAA